CTCGACGAGTGCCATAGTAATCATTTCGAAACTCTAGGTCAGTGCATTGCGGTCTTCGATCAAAAAGTTAATGGGGTAGACCCGAACGGACCCAACTGTTATTTCTTACACTCTCACCCGACCCACCTTCACTACTCCGACCCATACTTGGTTCGAGTACCGCTACTTAAATTCTAAGCCATTTCAGAACTTCCGTTTGGGCCTCTGTCTTCTGATATCGCCCGACTGATCAATCACAAAACACGATGACGATCATCAGGTTACCCAAGCTTCTCACCCAAGTCCCAGGTACTTATTCCCCTGAATCAAGGACCAGGTCACTTCAATGTTCCCCCCATGAAATTCAGCTTCTAAATGTTTATTGAAAAGATTCAGCAGGTGAATTTTTTTACTCAAAGTCGGTTATCACAGTTCAATCAACCAATGGACTAATTTTAACCTGACTCAGACTCTCACTGGACCGACTTCTGGCACGTAGCCACGTGTGCTGCAGGTGACGTTAATAGGATCTATTACGTTAGCCATGTTGGTATGGTACCAGTGAGGAATCCGAAAAATGCTCAAATTGTATACTGAATTGCGTCTAATCCGAATGAGTGGATTAGACGGAAACCCTTTAGATAGTCTAGGGTGTAGATATGCCTTGGGATTGTGTGAATAGTACACATGATAATGTAGAGGAGGAGCACGAGAGAGATAGAGAAAGTAAAAGGGAGGCTTTGCCGAGCCGGGAAAAATTAAATAGAGCTAAGCCCTCGGTCAGGCAGTTTACATCACTCTAAACGGGAAAGTACACTACAGACTCTTTCAAAAGGTATATACATTTCAGATAATCCGTACAATAGTGGCAAACGGGATACGTAACTTACCACGCGTAACGAGGACCACCTTGAGTCTGGATAAAATACCCATGTAGTATGAGCCTTAAAGCACTTGAAAGATTTTGTGCGGTAGTGAAAACAAAAAAATTATGCAGTTTTTGAACGGCTGTAAAATTATTGTAGCTTACAAGTCTGTATATTTTCGTATTGCGGAAGCAGTCTCTTGTATTCGTGTATGGTTTGCTGAATATACGAAACCGGAGTACGAAATACGTATAGATGACCTGCGTTATCCACAACGTACGACAAAATTTGATACCCAGCCAAATGAGGCGGGTGTCCGTACTGACTCAACGACACGACACGAGCCCTGAGTGTCATATGCATCATGTGTACATGCATCAAACGTATAGAGCTCGCCTCATATCCATATACAATAGACACTTTATTACAGAGAATTCAGGACGTAAAATCTCGTTAATTAGAGAAGACAATTGGTGCGGATCGTCGTTACGTAATATCAAAAAATTTTCGAAAAATTTTTTCGACTTATTTTTGATAAGATACCAATTTCTTAAAAATGCTTTTCATACAAATATTTTAAACGGTTCAAAAAATTTTTTGAAAATTTCCACGAAGCAGCAGGGTGGTCGCCGGTTGGTTTGATTGGTAGCACTCGTACGGTATCTCAAGAGTGACGCGTTACAAGTAGCATCTTCAATTGCGCACGACAAGTGGTTCGTTGTTAATCCATATTTGTGTACGGGACTTAAAGCCATGCCCGCGAAACCCGATACCGTTGACTTGTTTCTAAATCGAGTTTTGTAAGGCGAGAAAATAAAAAAAAAATTTGAAAAAAAAATCCGATCGACGTATACTCGAACTGAGGCGATGTATAGCCAAAGAAGCTTTGACACGAACGAAATCCAGATCAGTAGGAAATTAAGGCTGATCTTCATCGAAGACGATCCTTGAAATTTCATTGGTGGATAATTACGAGAATATTCATAGCGAAAGATCAAGTCGCGTTTACACGTACGATCGTCATGTCAACATAGTGCTTCCTTATGCCCGCAGATTTCAGACCTGTCAAATGATAAATCCTTTGACAGTTCGCAGAGTGCTTTTCGTAGGTTCGACTGGCATAAATTTTTTTAGTCACTCATTGTATATTCTCCATATATTTTTTTTCTTCAGCACCTCATGACTCATATGTTAATTGATTAACGCGATGGTCATTATCTTGATGCACGTATAGTTCAACGTTAATACGATCATATGTGTACATACGCGTAACGACGACGTTCCGTTGAGCCCGAGATACGTGAATGACGTTAATCTATGCTGACCCAAATAATATGGTAGCTACTTTTCGGGACCATATCGACAACGAGCCGAAATGCACGCTGGGCACGTTGTGGCAGTGTGTTTAATTGACCGTTAATCATAAAGATTGCGCCGCTCTTTATCTCTCCCGTGTCGGGTTTTAATGTCGACTTTAATGCCCCGTGAACTTTACGGCCGGTATCCGTTAGTCCTGGGATAGTGTACGTGTAGTACAAGTTGGCCATAGTGACACCATTCACTTTTCAATCCAGGAAATCGACGGGATTAACCAATCCACGTGGACTGGAGCGTCATGGCGAAATTCCAGTGTTGCATGACGGGAGAGATACGGCGCCGCCATTATTCAAAGTTATATTTAACCTTTGACGTTTCGGACACACTCGAGACGTCGGAACGTCTGAGTGCCATTTCCTGTGAGGTCCTCGTATCCTTCTTCGAGATAAAAATATACAGAGGTACCAATAACGTACCGGGCATACCAGGATAAGGAGTCGAGAGTATCAAATTCATTTTTTTTTCCCGCCATTTTTCAAACCGTATCGCCGTAATTGATTGATCGTAAAAATACCGGTTTACAATAAAAACTGTAGGTTTGTGCCAAGAGGTCGTGAACTCTTTAACCCACCACTTTGTCATCCCCCTCTCCACTTTTTGCCAAAATTTCAGTTTTTTTTTTTTTTTTTACACTTTCACGTATCACTTGTACAGCTTTACGTATTAGCTAGAGGGACTCTGCGTGCATAACCTCCAAAAACATTCTGACAGAAGCCCAAGGCACGTCGAGAACAATCAGCGTCTACCGACTGATTTCAGGCCCATTGCGTCGGGAACGATTTCACGGGTTCATTTCGACCAGGAGGAAATTAGCCTGGGTTGGGCCCAGACCATTAAGATTTTAATGTCCACCTATCTGTCGAATCGATCGAGTCGATCGGTAGATCGATCCGACCGTCTGGCTGCTAATTACCGGTTTAGTAACTTCCTTTCCACGAGGCTTCTCAACTTTTTCATTTTCAATTTCAAACGGCGTTGGGACTTCGTCGATGCCCTTTAATCGATAATATCTCTGTCCGAGCGTTATAGGCGATAAGAAAAAAATATTGAAAAAAAAGAAAAAAGTTAATCCAATCGACTCATTCAAGATCGTTAAATCCAACTGCTGACGATCGCACTCGTACTTATTACGTAAGAAATCAATGGTACTCGTCTCGATTTTCACTTTCGATCGATCTGCCATCTATACCCGTCTAAAACTAATAACCCGAGGCGTCCCAAATGTTCCGTAGTCCCACGTGAAACGTCAAGAACGCAATAAATTAAGACGTCCATGGAATTCCTGGTGCCTCGTGGCGGCTGTGTTTAAGCCTCAAACGTAATCTGCGCACGGTAAAAAAAAGCAGATTAATTACAGTAATATTTCATGCAATCTGTTGCAGAATCAACTTTAACGAGCGAGCCACTTGCTTCGTTGGTTGACCGGTGGTGCATCGTCGTAGAGGCTCGTTGCCGTTCTGCCGGCATTATCAATCGGTCGCACGGAGACGGCGATGCGGCCGTATCGGCAGTTTACGTCATTTCCACCGTATGACCTTTAGCGACTAGTGACGACGTTCTTAAAGCGTTTTTAAATCTTTATCGATGCCCATTATTATCATCATCATCGTCATCATCGGTCGCACGATCGATACTATTTCACTTTGACGCTCTTTACCTACGATTTCCTAACCTGAAAACACACAGATCAAATTTTTCTCTGCATAATCGATAATCTCCATAGTGCAATCCGGTAGTCGAATCGATGCACGGTGAATTATCCTGAGATGCATTTAAGCGAAGAACGGACTCTGTGGTAAATGGGGTTAGGCCAAACGATAGAGTTCTGAGAAATTGATATAGCGCAATAGGCGAAAGGGTCTTACCAAACGAGTAGAATTTTTTTTTTTTTTTTTTTTTTCCTATGATAGATGTAACTTGGAAACTATGCATCCTGGCGTATCAAGGAGGTTGAGCAACCATTTCTTGGTGCCGTATCGAAATGCATTATACTATCCGTATGGAAGTGCATAGTCAAACGTATTATATATACAGACTGGTACCACTTGGAGAGCAGGTGGTTCAAAATACGTTACACTTATCGAGCCGTGGACAGTAAGTGGCAGCAATCGTCCAATTACCTACCGCACCGTGTACATAGACTAAACTAATGTTAACGCGATGCTAGTGTAATGATTCGGAAAGTGACGTCACACGGATCTTACCTCAGGAATATAACGAACGAACGGAAGAGGACCACCCGGGCGAGTAAAGCGTGACCCAGGTTAATTTTGACATTGTAATTCCAGGAGCTCCTTCGTGAGTCCCAGAAACGACTCACGTAAACGATGTACAAAGACGGACGTTGTTATACGAACGCGTGAGAAACCGAAGGGCGGAGTCAACTGTCGTATAGAAAAAAAAGAAAAAAAAAAAATGAAAAAAAAAACAGAGAGGAGTTAGCAAACACGCACTATGTATATTTCTCTGTACTAATGACGTATTGGAGTAAGAATCTATTATTGGTTCACCTCCCCCCACCCCCCACCCCCTCCCGTCAAATAAAAAAATATTCAAGAATTTCAGATAAGAAATTCACCAGATAAGAAATAATATTCATCATTAAGTATAACAATAATCATTCATAATAATCGTCAATAATAATTCCTATTTCTTTACGTCATACGGATATATCATCAGACACATATAATCGTATACGTTAATTCCTCGTAGTTTCTCAACGCGTTCTCGTTGTATCTAACTATTAATTGATACGTCACGTATAATGAGTTCACTCACGTAAAAGTATAGCTCTACGCGATGACTGTGCTTCGGCACGCAGGTAAGCGCTTCGGATCTGCAGCAGCCTGTGTCGTCGCTGCACCTGTGCAATATTGCACAATGAGGACTGTACGTGGTGGACGGATTTGGGTACACGTCGTGTACCGGAATGACCCTAGCACGTGGCCATTGACAGCTAGCCTCCTTGGAGACCTTGATGGCGTGTTGAATGGCCTGATGTATCTCGGCAGCTAAAATAAAGTTGTGAAAATACATCGATAAGTGATAATTTAAGATAAGGAGATAGCGGGAGGAAAATAGAAAGAATTGTCAGATTGACGAAAAAAAAATCGATAACGTTAAGTCATTCTCGCCGCACTACGAATTTAAGTGTCGTTCAACCCCATTGGGGTTAATCGGGCCAGGCGCGATAAGAGCTCTCTCGTGTGCGACATGGATCCCATAAACAGGTCGATGGGAATACGCTGTTTTAATTGGACCTCGTTAGAGGAACGAATCGAGACGATCGAGAATACCATAGGCGCTTACAAACGGCTACGCCAGGTCAACGACTAACTTCCATTAAAGCGTCATTTGTCAGATTTTAAGTTGGCCGTTCTTGCATTCGTACGCTCCCTTGTTGCAGCTTAGTTACGGAGCTCTTTTTTTCGTCGCTCAGTATCCTTGGCTATCGTGTGGCTTCCAGGCTGTCGCAATGACGATGACGTCGATCGAATGAAAGAGGTCCTCGTCTGTACCTTGTACTGTGGCAGGTCGGACATTAATTTACAAAGTTCCAATGGACGGAGTCTGATTAGGTCCAGTTATCGTTAATTTACACGTGTTATAGGATATAATTCAATAAATCGACCCCCATATCACGCTCATCGTGTTATCAAAGTCCTGACATTGAGTAATAAAAAAAAAAAAAATATCTTTCCACGTTCAATCACCAACGTCGATCCTACCTATGGTAATTTTCCAACGTGGGCGAACTCTTCGTGGAACACCATGAGATTCTATTCAAAGAATTTTTTCTTTTATTTTACGTTACCATGGAATCTTCTATCTTCTCTGTCTTGTGAGTTCCTGGTTAGAGAAATATTTTCACACGGGTCAAAGTTCATGCCGAGCGCAGGTATGACCTACCGTTTTCCCCTTGTAATAAATCGGTCAAGCATTAAGCGTAAATTCGCAGATAGACAAATCAGCGAGGCCCATAAGACACCGTAGAGAAAAGTCCTATGCTGATCTTATGGTAAAAGTTTACGGGGGCGTTAAAGATTATTGCCGCAACACTGGATGCTGCGTTATTTATTTGCATATTAATAATCAAACAGGTCCAAAGTATATATATATATATATATATATATATATATATATGCGTATATGCTTTACTCGTAAGATTATACAGTTGCTTCCTGTTAAGTGAAGATCCTCCCTCTGGACCGAACGATGCTGCTGTACCGTATTGACCAAAGTCTTGTAATGGCCATTGGACGAGCGTTCGGATTCTCTTTAAAGATCGCCAATGGAAATCGATCTTAATCCCAACTGGCACGTATAGAAAGTTCATAAGGTTCAGCTGCCGTGCGTGACGGTAATGAGCGCCGGGCTATCGTTTCAAAACGATCGACAAGGCTTTTCCCCGAGGATTCTCTCTACGTACTACGCAGGGGTATAAAATTCAGCTTAAACTTTCTCGCAGCCGCGGAGAAACGATAATGCATCGATTTCAAAATGCTTTACGACGGCCTATTGGAAATGCGAGAAATTTACGTTACGATGTCACCGGACCTGCCACGACGATATTTAATTTATGGGAAGATATCGAGGCCGATTAACAGATGCATTTATGGTTCTGTTCTCGCGAGAAAACGATTTTCTCAAGCCCGAAAGATATCGTTATCGTGACTCTTCGAGGTTTTATCAAATAAATTTCAACCTTTAAGAATTTGACCTTTGACCTCTTTCAGGCTCGTAACTTTCGGATACTACGTGTTATCCCATATATAGTCTTCCTGCTGACTCGCGTTAAGATTTCAGGAAATGCGTATTGGTACCTGTTATAAAGATTTTTGAATGACTGAAATTAGGTCAAAGATTGGGAATCCTTTGATTTCGTTATCGATAACAAGACAATGCTGATTAAATTATTATCAACGTCTTTACTCACATTTGCCATTTGCATTGTACTGCTGCATATTCCTACGAGTCTCCCGCACGCTGTCTGCCGTCCCAAGGAATTGCCACTTGTGTTTACTATGATCTGACATAGGTGGATATTCGCTTTTTGCTTTGTAGCCATTATACTGGGGCCCGTTGGCAGCTTGGTACGCCCTTGAGCCCTGACGTTCGTAACGCTGTCTAGGAACGCTGGGCCTTGGTGTAGTGGTCGTGGTAGTGGTCGTTGTCGTGGTGCTCGTGGTACTCGTCGTAGCCGGTGTAGTTTCATCATCATCCTCGACATTGTCATCGTCGGAATAATCCTGAAAGAAAAAAATAGTGAACCTCAGATAAATCAAAAATATACTAATTTCCTACACACTCGTCAGCATCCACTGCACATAATACCAATAACACCCGATGTAAGGGTTAAGAATAAATATTTCATATAAGATAAGAAAAAAAATTTTTTTCACAATGAATCAATTCTACTTGGCATACTCGATACCGAAAAAAGCTCGCAAAGTACCGGAGCACTCGAGTTGCATCAGGAACTGAAGTGCAGCTGCATCTGCAACTGCATATTTTACGAGGGCAAAAATAATAAACGTAAAAAAGCAGAAGCTCCGAGTGATAGAGATTTTGAATTTTTATTTCAAATAAATGCATAATACACCTCAATACTGTTTGCGAGTCCGTCAATCCGGCAGTGAGTCCGAATGAAGATTCCTCGAGGGAAGAAAAAGACGTGGGAACGAGACAAAGACGAAGAATATCAAAGAAAACAAGAAGAAGAAGAAAGGAGAGTAAGAGTAGCCTGCAGAAAGGAACGGACCGGTCTCACTGTCCTCGACCCTCTTTCGGTCGACGGGGGTCAGGTTGACCCTCGTGTGCTGTGCAAGGTACATAACCACTATAATACTTGAGGTACTATGTAAATCCAACAATACGTACAAGCACGCCATTCAATAGATAAACCGCGTACAGTTCGCGGTCTTTATTTGCACTTTGGAATCACTGGAGCACTCGCCCAGTAGCAACGTACATCTGTGTCTTTGATATGCCGCTAATAGAAACAATTCCTCCAGCAGGATTCACAACACTGGATACTTAGCCCGAGGAACATAGACTACGTAAAACAGAGAGAAGGTAGTAGAAGGTGCTGTTTGCGAGCACCCGACAATCTTATCAAACTCTATTTGCGCATCAAACTATTCGAAACGCGCTTCTTTCCTACGGCGCATCGTACCCTTCTCTATTCCCGACTATCCATCCTATTTCAGACCTGTAGCCATTCCTCACGATTCTCCGCGTTCCTCCGCGTTCCTCGACCGCGACTCTCATAACTAAGTACGATTAATTGATCCGTGTTTGTATTCTTGGTGAAATCATTTGTCCATACGCAGTACGCGTGTATACGCGCTTCGACGTATTCGTACAAGTTGGCTACGCGACGGTGCTGCCACATCGGCTGTACGGATGAATGACTTATGAACGAATGGATGACAGGTGGAAGAATGAATAAAACCTGTACGGGATTTATCTGTACTAGCGAGACTGACCCAAGCAACCAATTACTCGTTCAGCGATGAATTTTTCATTAATTTTGAATTATTACCAGTCTTCGGTTCGACTGATGGCCGTACGAGACTGATGACGTCGTTTGGCGGGAATTCGAGGTAAATTCAAAATTCTTCTATACCGTCCAAGGCACAACTTATTGATTTCTTCGGTATATTCGGCTAAAGCATAGTCAATTATGAAGTTGGTAGCTAGGAGCCAGATCATCAAAACCAGAATAAATGACCGCCCTTCAACTTTCGATTTCCGGTACGGGCCTAATGGCGCCGTTTTACACATTCTTCCCAGTAGTTGGCTACTGGTGTGCTGGAGTTAAAGTCAAGGTTGACGTTGGGTCAGGAAAGGCCAGTTTAAAAATGGAGGCTGCTCTGCCGTGTTATACATAGCCATATGCATGTATACCTATATATGCATCTTGATAGAGATTATACGTCGTACTTTCTTGTACGTAAAAATCATTTGCTTGATGATTTATTTTATTAGGCGGGTAACTTTCAAGGTACGCTAAATGGCGCGATGGGTTATTTTTTTTTACTTTTTTAATAAACCAAATTTTATTCGAAATCATTGTTGTACATATATATGTATAATATATTCAAGTACCTCGTATAGCTAATGTTAAATTAGGTACCTCGACCCTTTACTCTCTAGGTCAGTTACGCATCCCGTGTCCGTTTGAGTTGCGCAAGGCCCTTTTAAGGCCGTGAGTATCCACGATACCTCAAACGTCGTTCAGGGAAAGTGTTAAGTGTCGAAGGTCCCAGCGAGAAGTCTAGCTACTCCTAACTTGAGTGCAGAAGGTAATACGAGAAATTGGTATTCCCATCCTGGTACACGCGTCGCTCCGTGTGTACTCGCATTGAGGAGTTCAAGCATCAATTAGCGAGTTTCATTTGCCATTGTAACAGGTATATACCTCATTTGAAAATCTATACCGACCATTAAACGAAAGCAGCCACTTTCATCTTATAAATAATTAACCTTAATTTCATTATTTACTATCCATGTCGTAACGAAATATCTTATATGAGAAAAAAAGCAAGTATTATCAATTTATTATTATTAAGCAAATTTACCGAAATATTCATACGCATCGTTAATTTCGTGCCGAAATGTCGCTCGTATGAAAACGGCCAATTTTTTATACGGTTTAAGTTATCATTATAAAATTATTCGGCAATATCACACGAGTCAAGTACGAACGGACATTTGATTTCTCCTGACACTTGCTAACTATTCCGAGTGGAATACAGTGCTGACTGGGAGCTCGGGGTTAATTGAATAAACAATGGAGAAAGGATGATAAATCACACGAGCTTTATCAAGGAAATCCATGGACGCAAGTCATCTGTCTATACGGTGTATAAGAAGCGTCCGTATCCCGATATGACGGAAAGAAGCTTTTACGACGATAGAAAAAAAAAAAACCGGAAGTGGGTTAAATCACAGTGGAGCAACAGAAGAAGAAAAGTATTCTTACAAATTGGTACCAACAAAAAAAAAATGGAGGTCGAGGAGTCGCAAAAAACTTTACCAAGGAATGAGAAAGGGGCACAAAGAAAAACTTTACGCGCCCTTAACAACGCTCGTGCCGTAATGCCGTAGGAGCATTAAGCAGCATTAGCGCTCGTCCCGGCCACCTCCTGTTATTAAAGCAGCATCCTCCCGGGAGCGTGGACCACCCAAAAACAAGTTCGTCTCACGAGTAACAGCAACGAGTGAAACAGTATGTAGCCAGTAGAACGATCCAAGGTTTTGGTCCATTGAAAAAGGAAAAAAAAAAAAAAAAAAAAAAAAATTCATCAACAAACACCGAATCAATTGCATCTATCTTTAGAATACCCAGGGTACATCCCCGTAACGTCACGTGATTTTTTTTATCAATTTCGCAACACATTACCGATAACAGTACTACCGACCGAATCGTTCGAAATTCCCGAGCATTACGTAACATCACGTTGATTCCCAAAAATAACCCGTAAAAAAAATCGATTGCTCTAATTTCATCAATTTCGTTCCGTCGAAATAAAAATTTCTCGATCAGATACCACCAGCCGTATACGAGTAGACAATAGAGAGAGGCAGGTCTCGTGAGGCAAAACGATGAAGTATTGGATAAAAAAGCGTAAAGGGCCCACCCGCAACGTGGGAGCGTGAAAAATGTTTGGCTAATTCAACCGCGTCCGATAACCATTGCCAACCTAAGAGATAAAACATTATTGACCACGATGGATTCGATGCTTAAGGTATGCCAACAAAATAAAATATCGTATAGAAATCGTAATCCGTGTACCGGTCCGGTTGACGAATGAGACGCCGTGTGAGCTCTCCTTTAAGTGACAAATTTTTCAAGGCGTCACGCGTCCGCGCATGCGCACGGAATAATCTATAAAAAAGATAAAAAAAAAACAGCCTCTGCCCCGCGACAGAAGTACGTATACACTTGAGTACGCGTGTGATATTCATACGTAATGTGGACTCGCCATTCCGAGAAAGCGAGGCTTAACTCGATGCCAGGCTGTCTGCTACCGTGAGCCATGGGTGTTGGACGAAGCATGGTCACCATAATGACGAGCGGCGCTGCCACTCGGCAATGGGTTTATCACTACTTCCCAGAAGCCGCCATGGACAGTGCCCACGTTTCATAGTTAGTATGGAGCCCGTGGGGCCCCTACGTGCACGTTCAGTGTATCCAGCGATTGCTGAAATATAACTGTGAGTTTCGTAGCCTGGAACGAATAAAAAGAAAAAGAAAAATTATATCCGATAGTTCCAGTCCTTGGAGTCATCCATGAATATTTTTACGCGGCCGAAAATAAAACCTCTCTTTCTTTGCCGTCTTGAAATTGGCCGCGTTCCAGCGTCAAATCGTTCGGATGAAAGTAAACGGTATATACGTATATACCCATAATTCAGTCGATATGCAATCTGTCCGTCGAGCAGGTGACACAAAGAAAAAGAATGATCGGCGTTATCGAGAAATAAAACGGATACCCTTTGGTATTTCCGGTTCGGATATTTTATTCACCGCGAGACAGACGTGGGATCGGGAAAATTTCAAGCAAAGCAGAAACTCGAAGAATCGTCAAGAGAAATCAATCGATTCTCACGAAATATATATATCGTCGTAAAAACAAGCTGCCGAGTTTGCACGTTTCTTTTTCTTTTCTTCGATTACTCCCCCTACTTCCTTCTCTCTTTTCTTCGCCGTGACCCGCATGCAACTACCAGTCGACGTAAATTATAAACTGTCGCTAAAGAGCACACGGAACCACTTCGTAAACGTCGTTCTATGTAAACATCTCACTGTGCACGTATCGCGTCTCTCTCTCTCTCTCTCTCTCTCTCTCTCTCTCTCTCTCTCTCACTCCTTCTTTTTTTCCCTCTTAAAACCACAACGGGCGGATCGATGATCGTAAATATCCAAACAGGGTTGGAATTATGTAGATTTAACAGAAGGGATCACGAGGACCACCATTGTGCAACCATACGTTCCGGGTGGTCGTATACATACATATACTATATACCTAACCTCAAAATCCCTATCAACTAATAATTCTGAAAGTCGATCGAAACTTGACGACGCTTCCACCACGTGGCATTCTGCGGCCTTGCCGAAATATAGCATCGACGACGTAATGACACGTGGACATGCACCACGTGACTCCGCACAGGTATGTACCATACACAATATATTTGTAACATAAAGGGGAGAGGAGAGGAAAGAAACGCAGGACAGCAA